AGTGTCTTTATAATGTGTACTTTGATTGGGAGTGCCATCATTCACGTATTGTACAGTATTTCTCTGGTCTCCACATTTCTGCTTGAAAAATGCGAATTCATTTCGTGCACGCGCATATGAACGCAACACACGCGACGCGGTTATGTTTTCCGAGCTGCAGTAAACAAACACTGTTGTTGCACTTTGTCGTTTATCAAAAACAAAACGTAATAAATAATGGTATTTTACTCTCACTTTTGTCAGGCAAAAAGTGATGCAAGAGATGCACTGCCTGCCCAGACAAACCATGACAAAAACCAGACAGAACACAAGTTTACCTGACTGCTGTTCCCGCAATTCACTCTCATGTTTTTCTTCTTCCTCTTTTCGTGACGAGAAGGATAGTTTCCCTTCATTTTGTCATGGACTTCGTACACATTAATTAGCGCGCGACACGAGATGGAGGCGCGGCCCGAGTAATTTGCGGTGCCTTACCGCACCGGTCGCGTGCAGTCTATGGTCTCGTGGAAACAGTTTGACTTTCAATTTTTTTTTTTTTGGAAGTGAATGAGGCTTTGCGATTTTTATATTATTTTTTGTCTAGGCCTACGTGAAATTCTACATCCATTGTACGATTTTTTTTTTTTTTTTTCCTCAGAAGGGCAACCTGAGTCGAGAAGGGCATATGGGCAGTTGCCCGGGCAACCTGAGCAACCCCCCTGTGCACGTCCCTGGTCTGCTTAATATCTCATAACACTTTAATTTGATGCTCCACCAACAGACATTAAACTCATTTTAAGTAACTTTGCATCATCAACTTATTTTACTAATCCTAACCCTTACAGGATAACCCTAACCAAACAGTGTTCTACAGTAGAGCCCTGTGCGGGACTTTTTCCTTCATCCTGAATTTCTGACCATAACCGCCCGCTCCCACAACATATGCGTTACACTCCCGCCCGCTCCCGCAATATGTATGTCCACTCCCGGCCGCACCCGCAAAACTCAGAAAATTTATTCCGGCACAATAATAGAAATGCATTGTTTTTGTCTCTTCTCCCGTCCCGCAGGACAAAACACGTATTTGGAATACTATTATTAAAGAGTTTCCCTGTTCTGCATGTATTCTGACACACTGATCAGGAAGATGAATCGGTGATCATGATAGATGATCGGGGACATCTAAAACGCTTAGGCTACCACGAGTTTTTTTTTTTTTTCAGCCGTTCATTCCCGCCCGCAGCAAAGTTCAAACTGCCCGCTCCCGCCAGATTTGTGTTGGGTCCCACAGGACCCGGCGGGACTCAATCCCAATGCAGCCCTCTATTCTACAGTCTACTCTGACTGTACGTTCACACCGCTGCCCTGTCAAGGACGCTTGTCAAAAAGTACGGGGAAGCTTTTGACGCTTTGAGCACTCTGACGTTGCAGGGAGAATAGAAGTGTCACAACATGAAATGTAATAAACAGAAAAAAACAAGCAAGACATTGAAGAAACCTTTTATAATGACAGCATTTTTTAACCGTTTTGGTCACATTTGGTCGGGAAAAAAATAGTTAGCTATTATTATTATTATTATTTGCGGTGAAATCAGTGTCACCGTGAGCAAATTAATTGCATCCCCACTTTAAAATGAGCGTTCGTAAATATTTCAAATAAAAGTTGCGCTCATGCGGTCACTATAAGCAAACAATGTCATGTCATAAATGATACGAAACCATTCGGAAACACAGCAACGGCGATGGTTAGCTTCTCTTCTATTTTCTCGGAACTAATGTTTTGGTAGGAACAAAAGTTAACATTGTATGTTTCTCCGGAATCAGCCAATATGAAAGACGTCTACATTCCAATTGGTTGCTGGCGTTTTGCCGCTGAACCGCGTCACAGCTCATTACCATAAAGTTGAGCTTCTTTCAACTTTCTGATTGATGCTCAAAACGCTCAAAACGCCCAAAACGCGACGCCGATGGATTTGACGCTCCTTGCAGCTGAGAAAAGCCAGCTTCCATTGAAAATGAATGACTTCCGGCCGCTTTGGAAGCTCAAGTCGGAGGGCGGTGTGAACGTACAGTTAGAGTAGGTTGACATGAGAAAACAGTTCTCTGCCATTAACAAGATTTTAAGGTTTTTCGTTTCTCGAAATCAATACACAGGCAAAAATCTAAATCAATACACGGGCAAAGAAGAAGCAGAAACTAGTGATCTCATAAGCAGATGCATATGAAAAATAATGTGATCATCAACAATAAACTGCATATACAGTAAATCAAAACAGCCTTACCGATGGGTCAGGAAATGGGTCATCCCCAAAGAGGTGTTGATTGACTCGATCTATTCCATCAATGTGTTGATAGTCGTACTGAATTTAATCCAGATGGATTCTTTGACAAACTTTTCTGGTAACACTTTATTTCGATAGTCCACTTTTCCAGACATTCTACTAACCATAAGTAACTTTTTAACAACATGTCAACTAACTGTCATTAGAGTATTAGTAGACTGTCAGCTTAATATCTGCTAATTAATATTAATATCTACTTTATTTTGTTGGTCCCCCAACAGACATTCTACTGACTATAAGTAACTTGGCGACTAACACCTAACCATAACCTAACAGTCTACTGACAGTCTACTATATTATACTAATACTCTAATGAGAGTTAGTTGACACGTAGTTGAAAGGTTACTTATAATTAGTAGAACGTCTAAAGTGACTATTGAAATAAAGTGTAACCACTTTTCTCAGCTCTTTGCTCAAAATTTATCTTGTTTATGAAACTTACCCACAATCAAGTGCTGATTAGAAAAGAATGCAAAAGAATGCAGAATGCATTAAACCACTTTTTTTTTTTTTTTTTTTTTTAAGCAGAAGGTCTGTTCTTTCTTTTGATTTATTGCAGGTCATTCACACAACAAAATATTTTGGGGGCCATTACATTTTTGTGAAAATTACCAAAAAGTTGGCTGGCAACTTAAAAAGAAAACAGTGGACCATTGAAGTCAGAGCCTGAATTACGTTTTGGAAAATGGGGGAGGGGAAATCCCCCCTTAGGTGATTCTTATGGAGGGGAATTTTTCTTTTGAGGGGGAGTTTATACTTTTTCTTTTTTTTAAATTACATTGATCTCCTAAAATGTATGCTCATTGCTCACTCATTGCATTTTTACAATGGGGTAATTTTGTTCTTAAGAATTTACGCAACACAAGGAAGCTTGATTTCCATCTTTGAATTAAATTGAAAAAAGAAAAAATACAATAGAATAAAGATACCTATAAAGAGAAAAGTTTTTGCTTAGGTCTGACTCCAGTATTCAGAAATAGTACTACAGAGACTGAATAAAGTAATCAAGTGTAAAATAACACTGGCTTATTTTAGTCCTGAGAACTAAATTCAATACATATTGATATTAATCCTGAGTCTTTAAAATGAAAGCTATGTTTTGTTGTTTTGACAACCAAATTAATGACAGACCATGGCTGCTGTCACTGTGAGCTCGTACACAGATCCTGTAGCCACTAACATTATACGCTCACGTGCGATGTATGCTTATTTAAGACATAGCTGACTGTGTTTAGAGGATACTCACCAAGACTGAAATTGACATAATTTTTGCATGTTTTTGACTGTTAAAGTGATATAATCCACGAAAAAGAACTATTGTTACCCTTTTTTGCTGTTTTTGAGCTGTTTTTGAGGCGGCTTTTATGAAAAAGAGACTTAAAAAACTTTATTTACCCATGATGCAATGCTGGTCCGATTATGCAATTGACAATTCCTTCTATCCCGACTCCGAAACGTGAGTGTATTATCGCCACCTGAACGATTGAGAGACAAGAGAGAGAAGACGCAACATCATTGAATCACTCATGCGGGTTTTCTCACAGAAAGTTTTAAAATTACTGATTTGATTTTATAATCTGTGTGGATTCATTTACTAATACAACCTGCTAAAGTGAGTCAATGTTTGCGGGAATTTCACGCATTATAAGTGGGAGGAGACCTGCGGGAATGATTCAAATTATGCGCAATCCCGCACCGAAATCCGAGCCCTGGAAGTGTTGAAGTGGACCATTGAAATAAAGTGTAACCAGTGGATTTAGTCTTTTATTTTAAAGAGAACTTCAAAGATGAGAATCTTTTTAATATACTTTAGTTTGAAAGAAAAACATGCCGTTTCATTCATTATGACCAACTTTTATTCAACAAACGCTTGAAATATTAAAGCTCCTACGTTTATTTGACATTTCATGAACTGGTTGACATTTCTCCAACATTTGATTAACTGGTTGCAGCATGTGTTTAGAGCAGCTGGGCATGACATAAGCTCACCCAAGATGGCAGATGTTAGATTCCCTCTTACAGCACTAACACTTCACTCCATCTTACAGCACTAACACTTCACTCAGGTCAGGTCAGAGAAAGAAATATAACAGAGTCCAATGGCAGAATCCTCTGAGGGATTCCAGGGACCCAGCAGCAGCAGGCCACACACCCCGCTGTAATGATCTCATCTGTATGCAGTGTCTTCCTCAAATCTGTGTCATCACAAGCCTTATTTCCCAGCAGGTTTAGAGCTTCTACACATTATCTCTCTCTCTTTCTCATTCTCATTCACTCTTTCCCTTACAAATAGTTTGTAAAGTGTTCCTTGGCCCCTTGAAATGTAAGAGCGGATGATGTCCAGTGGGAAAACTGTTACACCTCATTTTAAGGATTGCTGAGCAGGATATGGAAATACTGTTTGAAATGAATTGTTAGTCTCGCTTTCACAGTTGTCTGTATGTTGTCATAAAGTCGAAATGTTATGCGTGATTCTTGTTCCAAATAATTATGTGTGTTAAACTGTTTATGAGTTGGTTATTTGATAAAAAAAAAATGCTTTATAATCTTAAAACTGAATTTAACCTGTCAATGAAACCTAAACAAGAACTAAATCATTTTAAACACGGCTAAACCTTCTTAAACAGTGTATAAATGTGCAATGTGCTAAGATGTCTTTTAAACTTTCAAACTTTAAAGGCAACAGCGACATTGAGCGTTATCAAATGGCTAATAAGAAAATCCCGTTCAAATATACCCGGCCGGTCGAAGATTGGCTACATGAGAAAGGTAACCTTCATAAGACCCTCAGTGTTTTCTTTTGTTTTCGTTGATTTTAATTTGCGTTCATATGCTCCTTGTCATGCCGTTTCGTTATATTTTTTTCCAACCAGTTCTGATCAGCCTTTTGCCACTAATTAACCTAAAATGTTCATAATTTACTTCCCTTCCCATTACGTAATATTTTCGTATTCTTTTTTTTTTTTTTTTTATGTGGATTGTGATCCTCTTTTGTTATTTCCATCAGATCATTGACCAGTTAAAGGGACTGGTAACCAAGAATAACACTGCAGAAGTGCATAGTCTCCAGGTTTAAATCTAAACCAGAACTCAATACAAGTCATGATATTTGTTTTTTAATTTTCATTGGAATGATCTTCCATAGCGCTAGTGTTAGTGGTTGAATAGGCCATAAACCCAACCCGTAATGCAGCACGTTTCTAAAGACAACAAATTGGCGCTGAAATATTAGTGAAACGTCACTTTGCTGACTCAATTGCTGACGCAGTTTTGTGTTTGTAGCCGGTGATGAAATCGACTGACACCTCTTCACAGTTTCATTCAAAAAAAGGATGAAAGGGCGGGGTGACCATTCATCAAATTTACCATTAAAGTCCTTTGGATTATTAAATGTGTTTAAAGGTCATTGCCTAAACTGCATAAGATGATTTTAAAGTCCCTTTAACACTGTCTAAAGCCACTTTGAAATCCCATTAGTGGTTCTACATGCATGAATCAACATGATGTTCCTTTGAAATGTATGAGATTTCTTCCTTTGCCCACATTAATATAGAATTCTAAATATGTAATAGCTTTAATCGGCCTGCATTTCTATTTCTAACCATATGAAAAGACATTTGGAATTTGCCTCAAAACATTTGCATGAGACAGACCTCACAGTCAAGTCAATAAAGAACATTCATTTTTAATGCTATGCTTGGATTTTAAAAGCTCAAGCGTTAACGATAAAGTTAGTCAATTAGCTAAATAAATTTAAAAAATACAATAAGTAACATAAACAATTCTAACTGTTTTCTTCTTCGCTGGTCTTCCCCTCAGGTCGTCAGCTGACCATTTTTAACACCCAAGCCACCATCTCAATAGGCGGTAATGACCGCAAGCGGCCATATCAAGGCCAGCTCTCTGGTCTCTATTACAATGGCCTGAAGGTTCTCAACATGGCAGCTGAAGGTCATGTTAACATCAAGATAAATGGCAGTGTGAGGCTGGTTGGAGATGTACCGACTAGCAGAAGCCCCTCACGCACCACCACTTCCATGCCGCCGGAGATGTCCACCACCTTCATCGAGACCACCACCACACTGTCAACCACCACTACCCGCAAGCAACGCTCACCACCAACCATTCAGGTAGGAACCAGGATCCTTAGATCTTCTCCATTTAGTCTCCTTGAACTAGGGCTATAGCTTGAATTCTCAGAGCCTGGGGACAAAATCTTGTATGCATTTATGTTTTTGTCTAAAAAATCATCCACTTGATGCAAATGCCACAACTTGGTACCATGAATTAGAACAAATTAAAACTTTAGAAATTAAGAGACCTCAGATCTCATGTCCAAACCTTTAACTACTATCCTCTTAGTATTAAAGTGGAAGTATGGAAGATGTTTTTATTGTTAAAGGATACTTCAGGATTTAGCATTAAGCTTTGTATCAGTAGAAAACCTGTAGTATTTTCGAATTACCATGCTTTCCTCCCTCATATCCCCCTGAGACGAGAAATTTCTGTATTTTTGTCTGGAAAAAATCTGACATTTCATCATCAGAGGATTTTTTGGCCAGAGACTAAAAACTACAACCAGTAGAAGGAGTTTTTCCGCATGTTTTTACTCACAGAATGTACAAAATAGTGTCAGCCCTCTTTTATTTGGAAGCTAAGCTAGGCTCTTGTTCTGTGGAGAAAGCTGAGTTGCAGGGGTTATACAGTAGGCCTTCCATAATCCTCTTTTTACCGGACATGTCCGGCCATCAAGGTCCGAAATGGAGTCGCCATTCATTTGTTTACATGCACACCTTTTGTTTCAATCTTCAACTGAATTCATACCGATTGGTGAATCTGAATGTCGTGTTTACATGAACGCTAAACAAGTGATCGGTAGCATTGCTAAGAAAATTCCTACTCCTCCGTGAGAGATACAAGACTGATGCTTCTCACAGGTGTCGTTCATCAGTAATCACGCCACGGGCCTCGTGTCATTCTCCCATGTTGCTTGCCTCAGTAAACTTGATAAATGGCGAATTTAGAACGCAAAAGCCGAATCCTGGACATTTTAGGCGATGTCACAGAGACTCACTAGTAGCTTAGACTTGTTAGACTTGCAAGTGCATTCTGTTAGTTGTTGTCTTTCATACCCATAAGCCAAAAATTCATTTTCTGGCTTTTCTCAGTATAGAATTAAGAATAATTTCACATTTCTTCAACATACTGTAAATGACCAATTTTAAATACACATTCATCTTTCCAGAGGTGAATGTTTACCCCAAAAAGAACCATCTAAATTTTGAGAGTGGTCCGCTCAGATCAGTCAGTCTACTGTGGCAGGCCGAGTCAGCTTCTGTAGCTAGTGTAGCTGATGCTTTAAATGGGAAAACAAATTCAGATTTTTGTACACGAGTTCAAGCCAAATTTTGTTGCATTTAGACCTTCAAAGATTTAACAGGTCTTGAACACAAAGTGCATTGCAATCATCATCATGCACCCATTCAGAAAGGTAAATGTTCCAGGTTATAATATTTACTTTGTGTCCAGTGTAGAAAGCCTCAAAAAGTTGAAAAATGTCAAAAAATGCTCCTCGTGCAAGATGTTTTGGATGTGTTTATTACAAGTGCGATTCTCGCGTGAGCTCTAGAGACGTTAGCCTACTCAATTGCCTACTCAATGACACCACAGGTAAAAGTATTTCTAAAATGTTGACATTTCATTAAAAGTATCCTACTTTTACCTGTTGAAACATGTCTTCACAAGACCTGTAAGAACTTTTTCCTCACACAAAGCTATCATTTTGTTTTAGAAAATATTGAATATACTTTTGATCATTTTATGCAACTTTCTTGTCCATTTTGGAGTTTGGCATTATAAATCACTCCAGTGTTGGAAAACAGTTCAGTTCTGCCTAATATCTCATTTTGTGCTTAAAAAAGGGGGTCAGAATGATATAATGGTGAGTATCAGATGATATTCTTTCCTGGGGGTGATCATATATAGCATTTCTGTCAGTATGTGCTGTTTAGATGCCTTGTGCCGTCTGTCGACTTCCAGAATGCTTTCTTTAACACATTCTGACGTGAGGCCAATGAATGTCTGATTGTGCTGACCATTTTATTGATGCTAGAGGAAAAATTGAAGCAGCAGTCTTCGTATTAAAGCCATAACTCTCCCTAGGGCACTGCTCAGCGACAGGCAAAGAAGACTTATTCTCTCCTCACCCTTAAACAGATCAACCAGCAAAATAATAACCTCTCATGTCAGCCAGCGCTGACTCCGACGTGACTTCATCAGTATGGTGGCAACCCATTCATTGATAAGAGCCTTCAAACAAAGCATTTCAGAGTCATCTGTATTTGCAATATAAACAGGAGCAGGATATGAACTCTTTTCATGTAAGCACCATGACTTAACTTGTTAACTGCTAGGCCACAGCCCTGAACGAATGCTATTTCCCGTGTTATCATTAGCGTCCTTGCCTCAGTTGAGCCATGGCCATTTTTTATGGATTCTGCATGTTCTCTCCATGTTGGCATGGATCCACTCTGTAATCTGTGACAGTCCTACAGGTTAGGTTAACTAGAGTCTGCAGTAGGTATGAGTGATGGTGAGAATTTCTGTGTCTGTCTTTGTTTAGCCCCTTTGACACCGCGCGTTTGCCAGCTAGTAAAACTTCCCGACCGTTCGCCAGTTAGTGAAACTAACGTAATGCACTAGTTTATGATTGAATAAGACAAAAAAAATGCACAAGCGTGGTTTCTCAAGAGAGAAATCGCAGCTCATAAGCAAACTTATGATGCTGCTGAGACATTACATGTCATCGATGTCATGTGCCTTTACGGGATTTTTACTGGGTGTGTGTGATCAAACTCTATGATTCTGGAAAATCACTGGCAGTGTGAATGAACCAAAATCAAACGAACCCGGGTCATATCCCGGGTCACTTTATCTGTGTATTTTCCGGAATCTCTGTGTGAAAGGGGCTTATGTTAGCTCTGCAATGTGCTGACCACTTGTCAAGGGTGTTTTTCTGCTTTTGTTCAGAGATGCTGGGATAGAATCTACCAAACATGGATGTTTTTCCACTAAGAAACATACATTGTTATTATGTTTTGATTGATACTGTGAAGGTTCTTTGATGCAATCTATATTGTCAAAAGCGCTATATAAATATACTTGACTTGATAGAATCCAGCACTCCCACGACCCTACATAGCAGAAGCAATATATTGAATTGATGAATGGATGAATATTAACACATGGTTATAGTCTGTGATTTCACCATGTAAGGCATGCTCCTTGATTAACATATGTGTTACCCCTGGAATGGGGTTTAGGACAAGGGTTAGATTAAGGACTGGGCTTTGGGACTGTAACAACATTCTTTAAAGGTGCCCTAGAATGTTTTTTTTTTTTTTTTTTTAAGTGTTTCATTATGTTTCCTGGGTTGCCCTTATGTTAGTATGTTTTTTAGATCAAAATGCATCATAATTTAGAAATAAAGGCCTGATTCATTTGGTTTTTGAATTTTGAATGATTCGTCATTAAAATGATGAGAACACAAGGTTCGGGCCTTGCAAATATGAACCTGACCAATGATTCTTCACATGCTCGTCCCTGGACAATGGAAACAAGTGGCTGAACTGTCTTTGCAATGTTGAACACAGCGTCTTCTCCACATGACGCGATTCAGCTGAAGTTTTTGAATGTGTTCTAGACGTCACTTCAAGTTTACACTTCCGTATGCGCGCGCAGTTGTTGGGAGCGGCCAATGACCTCTCTACGTCACAATGTAACAGCTAATGACTCGTTTCAAAAACAATTCATTTCATAGACTCAGAGTCGACTCTCACTTTTGAAAGACAATAACTTTATATACGGTGCGCTTTCAGATATAAATCTTTGCAGGATGTTGTCATTCCCTTAGAGCTATATTCCACACTACATGAACAGTCATTTTCAAAAATCCATGATTAACTCTTGTTATTTAAAGTCCGTGTAAAGGCAATTCTACAAAAAAGTTGTAAACAGATTATAAATGTTACATATGTATTACTAAAACATATTACAAAGACTGTGAACTGTGAAGTACTGAAATGTGGAGTTAGACCGTTAAACAGTTTTTCACCATTGCAATTTTACGGATTGTTTGGGCGGGGCTAAAACAGGGCTCGATGACGCACTGGAGCCCATGAGCTCCTGGACACGCCACATTTGATGATGCACAGAGTCTGATCTCTCCCAACACACAAAAACTCCCCGAGCACATTCGCATTCACCGCTCAATCGCGACTGTCAGTACAAGTTACTACAGCTGAGCCTACAGTTTTCTAGCTAGCGATGCCTTCGACACAGAAATGCATAGGCTACTACCTGGATGCGATCATGTACAAAACAGATCGGTATTTTCATTTAAATTCCCTAAAAACGATCACATCAAGAAGAGGTTTTTAGAGAACCAACCTTGATGAAGAGCTGAGGATCACCACCAACACCCCCCTCTCTGAAGTGATCATTTTACACGGGATAGTTTTATAAACTTTCCTCAGAGACAACTGGGATTCACTGATAATCACCACTGTTACTGGTGAACGGGGCCGAAACGACTATCTCCCGCCTCAGCGTTCATCCTCCCGTCCCGAAAGCAGTTTCACCTAATATCACCGTCGTCAGCTTTCCCGCTAGTGAGCGTGGTTTCAGCACAGCCAGCGGATACGCCCCCAGCGTTTGAGAACCGAGATAACTGCTCATTTTTTCAAGATTTTGATAGCTTATTTTATGTACTTGCCGGCTTTTTTTATCATTCAAATTTGGCTGGGTGGCTAATAACACATTTTTCTGTGGTGTGACAAACTCAGAACACATACTTAATTTTGACTTTACAGGGACTTTAACTATGCCAAAACAAATTCAATTTCACATTCTAGAGTACCTTTAACAACATTGCGTTTTGATTTTAGGGTTAGTTGGGGTTAGGTTAAGGTTAGTAGAATATTACTAACAGGACAGGAATGTTGCTATATAATGGTACTTTGCTATATTATGGTAAATTAAAGCACTATAATGCACTTACGGAAAAATAAGTCATCCATAATGAATTCTATTAGCATAACTCAATGAAACAAATCACACATTTTATGAGAGC